CAAGCAGTTTATGACAGTTCCGGTTCCTTTCTACTCTCACCAGTACTTACCCTTTTCATTACAGCCATCCTCCCGGCTGTGAAGTGCACTCTCATTGTGGTTGTGATATGCGTTGCCCTGAGGGCTAATGATGTTGAGCATCTTTTCGTATGCTTTACTGGTCATTTCCATATCTTCTTCAGAGAAATATGTATTCAGATCCTTTGCCATTGTTAAATTGGGTTGTGTTTTTATTGTTGAACTGTAAGACTTTATACATTTGATATAAGTTCCTTATAAAAAAAATTTTTCCTCCCGTTCTGTAGGTTGTTCTCTCACTTTTTTGGTGTGGCATCCTTTGAAGCACAAAAGTTTTTAATTTTGATGTCTAGTTTAATCCACTTTTTTTCTTTTGTTGCCATTGCTTCTCGTGTCATATGCAAGAAATCATTGCCTAATTTAAAGTCACAACAAATTACAACTCTGTGTTCTGTTAAGAATTTTATAATTTTAACTCTTTCTGGTAGATCTTTGATCAACGTAATGCATGGTATGAGGTCTAAAGGTCCAATTTGCCACTCTGGCATTTGGATATCCAGTTGTCCCAGCGTTGTTTGTTGAAAAGATTATTCTTTTCCCCGTGGAATGGCCTTGGCACTGTTGTCCAAAATCATTTGACCATATATAGGGGAGTTTCTTTCCGGGCCCTCTGTTCCTTTAGGCTATATGTCTGTAGTTCTACACTGCTGGTTTCATGGTTGTTAATTACTGTAGCTTTGTATTAAGTTGAAATCAGTTTGTCAATTTTTTCTTCTTTTTGAAACTTTTTGGGCTGTTCCATGTGAATTTTGGGATTAGGATGCCCGTTTCTACAAAGAAAACAGCTTTAATGTTAGAAAGAGTTACATTGAATCTAAAGATCAATTTGGAGAGTTTTATGGTATTAACAGTATTCAGTCCCCTGATCCATGAACATGGAATGGCTTTCCATTTAATTCGATATTTATTTCAATAATGTTTTGTAGTTTCTAGTTTATAAGCCTTACACTCTTTTGTTAAATTTATTCCTTTTTTTTCTGATGATATTTTGAGACTTTTCTTAATTTTATATTTGGTTTGATCATTGATACTGTATAGAAAAACAATGCAGTTCTGTTTTAAAAATTTATTTTTGTATGTTGATTTGTATCCTGCAATCTTGCTGAACTTCTTTGTTCTAATAGTTTTTAATGGACTCTTTAAGCTTTTCTATATAGAAGAGCATGTCATATGCAAATAGCAATAATTGTACTTCTTCCTTTCCAATTCAGGTGTCTTTGTATTTATAACACTCAACCAGAACCAGCTAGAACTCCGTACAATGTTGCGTAGAAGTGGCAAGGACAAACATCCTTGTGTTGTATTTTTGATCTTAGGGGGAAGCGTTTGGTCTTTCTATATTGAGTGTGATGTTATTTGCGTGTTTTTCATAAATTCCATTTATTTGGTTGAGGAAGTTTCCTCTATTCCTAGTTTATTGACTTCTTTGTGTTTTTTAATCATGAAGAGATGTTGACTTTTCTCGTGTTTTTTCTGCATCTATTGAAACGTGATGTGATTTTTCCCCTTTATTAATGTGGCATGTGAACATTAATTGAGTTTTTTATTAAATCAGCCTTGAGTTTTTGGAATAAATCCTCTTTGGTTATGGTCATTTTTATATCTAGCAGGAATTCAATTTGCGAATGTTTTGTTGAGGATTTTTGTGTCTGTATTCACAAAAGAGATAAAGGTCTATAGCTTTCTTGTGATGCCTTTTGTTTTGGTATTGGGTAAATAGTGGCCTCATAGAGTGTGGTAAACTGTTTTCTAATTATTAGAGTTATGAAGAACTGGTATTAATTATTTAAAATTTTGCAGAATTTATCAGTGAAGATACCTAATCCTATGTGCTTTTCTTTAAGGGAGGTTTTGATGATCAGTCTTTTTATTTGTTATAGATCTATTTAGATTTTCTTGACTCAGTTGACTAGTTTGTATCTTTCTAAGAATGTGTTTATTTCATCTGAGTTGTTAAAATTTATTGGCATAGAGTTATTCTTAGTATTATAATTATTTTCATTTCCATATGGTTTTAGTAAAGTTCCCTCTTTAATTCCTGGCGTTAGAAATGTGAGTGTTCTGTTTTTCTTAATCAGAATAACTGAAAGTTTGTCAGTTTTATTAATTTTTTTAAAAGAAACTTTTGGTTTTGTTGCTATTTAAATATTACTCTTCTGTTTATTAAGTTCTAAATTATGTTTCTTTTCTTCTGCTTGCCTTGGGTTTAGTTTGCTTTTTTGCCAGTGTCTGAAGGTAAAGGGTTAGGTTATTGATTTGAGGTCTTCTTTTTAGTGTAGGTGTTTAACACTAAAATTCCCCTCCCATTACTGCTTTTGCTGAATTCCACAAGTTTTAGTATGTTGTATTGTTTTTGTTATCTCAAGGTTTCCAGCTTTTCATGAGATATTTTGGGGGGAGCTGGCCCATTGATTATTTAGCGTGGGTTGTTTAATTTCTGCATATTTATGAATTTTCCCAACTTCTTTGTTATTTTCAGTATCATCCCCATTTGGAGATAGAACTTTGCATGATTGCAATCCTTTTAGATGTACTGAGCTTATCTTAAGACTTAGCATATGGTCTGTGCTGGCGAGTGTCCTGTGTGTGCTTGAGAAGAATGTATATTCTGCTGTTGTTGGGTAGAGAGTTGTCTCCTTGTCAGACTTGCATAACGTTTCCATCACGGGAATTAATGGAACAGTTTGCCTGCCCCTGGATGTCTTACTGCTCCTTCGCAGTCTGATGCTGAGATCGCAAGCTATGGCTGCCTGCCGGTTAACTCAAAGAATGTTTTCACATTTTCTTAATAGCTGAAAAAAAGCAAAAGAGTAATAATATTTTATGATGTGTGACAATTACAAAATTCAAATTTTGGTGTCCATAGATAGCGTTTTTGTCTTTGTTTAATGCCATTTCATTTATTATATATTGTATCTGGCTACTCCCTTGCTACAGGAGCAGGGTTGAGTGGTTGGAAGATGAGATGACTCATAAGCCTAAAAGGTTTACTGTTTGGCACTTTATGTAAAGTTTGCCAACTCCTGGTCTAATGTGTCCCCTGTGACTTCCTTACGTATACTCAGTCTGGCCACTGAGTATACCTAAAAATGGAGCACACACCTACCCATACCTGTGGAGGCTACTGTTGCTCTTCCTCTTTGCTCAGTTTCCTAGGGACAGGATCTCCTGGGGGCGTGGCAGCTGCAGATTCCCCAGGGGATACTGGCCCTGGGGAATCCAGTGGGACATGGTTAAGAAGGGAATGGAAAGAAATGAACTGTGTTCTACCAGGCTCCTGCCTCAGCTCTAAGGAAACGGAGGAAAGCAAACAGGAGTATACTCTAGTATACTGCCCGCTTCTGGAGTGGAAATTGATTTAAGGTGGGTTGGGCAGGGGAGGGGGGAGCATGAAACATAGCTTTCCTGTAAGACATAATCTCTTTTCCCTTTTTCATTGAAAACTCTTAAACTGTTTCTGCAAAAACATCATTTACATGGACTTTTCCAGAAATATATCTTGTAAATTGAAATACACCCTTATACACAACTATCCACAACTGAAGGAGCAGGGGAAAAATCACTTTCAAAAGCTTTCCCTGCTATGATATGGACTGTGTGGACTCGCACTTGCTGACCTGCCATTAATTACTGACTCTGTGAGATCTGTCAGACATGAAATTGGCCCTATGATGAGCTAAGGTCTTGCTGTTCCTAATCCTTTTTTGCTCAGAAGCAATAATATATATTTGATTTTAGGCTGTTCAGTAGTTAAGGGCTTCTATTCTCTGTATCTCAAGTAGATACACTGGAGAGTTTTTTGTTATCTTTGAGAGTAAAGGATGGGGATGGGGCATTCTCCTGTTCCCCACAATTGCCAGCACTTCTACTCATTAGGCTCCAGTACTGGGGGATGTTAGAGAACCAGGCATGCCATTGTGTGTCTGACCTACCTCTGCCTCTAACATCAATGTACCGATGTTCTTAATAATTGATGGGCTCAGACCTTTACGTTCTTAATTAAAGAGCTGCTATTTGGCTGTAGGCCTCTGCCCACAAGATACAGAGCCACATGCTGCCGCCGGAAAGCGAGCTGATGCTTTTGTATTAACTTCTGATGTAACAACAGATTCTAGGTATTTCTCCAATAACATGTGGAGACACCGTGTCAGATAATTCTTGTTCATGTGAGTTGTGGAAGATCTCTTTTCCATTTACACTTAGGATGTTAAGGTAGAAGAATTTGTCACAGTGATAAAACATGGTTACAAGGCAGGGTGGTGTGAATTGATAACTTTGATCCAGAATGTATTGTTCATCCATTTCAATGATTGACAGCATCTCCATTGAAAGTTGTTAGTGTAAAATTAATTAAAACTCAGATTTGAAAATAACCTGATTGCTGTAGACTGTTTTATTACAGTCAAGTATGATGTTCTCTGTTGACCTTTTTAGTTTTAATTGAGTGCTTCTGAATGATGCTGTGATACAGATCATATGTTTCTTTGATGGCAGTTTCACCCACAGAAGGTTCTCAGACCCTTGTAGCTCGTTGCCGTCACCACTCCAGGCCTTGCTTGGGTCTCTGATGCTGTTACCCTGGGATGACCAGGCACAGCTGCAGATGCCTCAGACTGCTCCAGCCATGAGTATGGAAACCAACTCAGTGGTCAGGCTTCAACACAGACATAACAGAGAGCCCCTTTCAGTCACTAAAACATAAGTCACCTAATGCCTAGCCACATGTCTCAGCATAACATTTTAGCATCTTGTTTGACTTACTTTCAGGGAAATTGCTCACACCCCAAATGGCCGGTTACTGTTTTATTGGGGTTGGAGAAGAGATCATTTTTATAGTATATTGTCGTTTGTGCTATTTTTGATGTTCTTAATTATACTTGTACTTTTCCAAAAAATTTTTGATTTTTTTAAAACTATTTTTTTCCTTTTATAAACAGGTTGAAAGGATTGTTGACAAAAGGAAAAATAAAAAAGGGAAGACAGAGTATTTGGTTCGATGGAAAGGCTATGACAGCGAAGATGACACTTGGGAGCCGGAGCAGCACCTCGTCAACTGTGAGGAATACATCCACGATTTCAACAGACGCCACACGGAGAAGCAGAAAGAGAGCACATTGACCAGAACAAACAGGACCTCTCCCAACAATGCTAGGAAACAAATCTCCAGATCCACCAACAGCAACTTTTCTAAGACCTCTTCTAAGGCACTCGTGATTGGGAAAGACCATGAATCCAAAAACAGCCAGCTGTTTGCTGCCAGCCAGAAGTTCAGGAAGAACACAGCTCCATCTCTCTCCAGCCGGAAGAACATGGACCTAGCAAAGTCGGGTATCAAGATCCTCGTGCCTAAGAGCCCCATTAAGAGCAGGACCGCAGTGGACGGCTTTCAGAGCGAGAGCCCCGAGAAACTGGACCCCGTCGAGCAGGGTCAGGAGGACACAGTGGCACCTGAAGTGGCAGCGGAAAAGCCGGTCGGAGCTTTATTGGGCCCTGGTGCTGAACGGGCCAGGATGGGGAGCAGGCCCCGGATACACCCGCTAGTGCCTCAGGTGCCCGGCCCGGTGACTGCAGCCATGGCCACAGGCTTAGCCGTTAATGGGAAAGGTGAGTGTCTGGGGAGCTGCCTGGAGCTCCGCGGTGATCCCAGAGGGCATGGGCCCTTCTCTAGAGATCAGGCCCTGAGCTATGGAGAGTCCGGGGATTCCCACGATGTCTGCTGGAGCCTTGCAGAGATTTTGCCAGCTTCTCCTTTCTTCGCTTGAAGCCTTTGGCATTTCTCTTAAATCAGCACTAGTTGTTTCGTTCTATTGCGCCATCCACAGACTGCTACCACACTGACTTGCTTTAAACATATCTCCCTCTAACTAGGTTAGGTGGGTGACTTTTTACAGCAGGTTTCTGGAGCTGTCTGCCTTTCTTCACCTCTTAGGTGCTGAGTCTCGTCTCGTCTCTTCTCCTGTTCAGCGTTTTCTTCTAAGTGTGGCCCGCATTGATTTAGAAGTGATGGTTCTTATTTTGCTCACCCATTTGAATAAGCAGGAATGCCTTTCAGCGAGGGCATTGCTAAGCCAGTGGGGCCTTTAGGAGCTGGGCTCGTTTCTAGGATGATTGGCAGTGTGGGTGCCTTTGCTCCTCCCGTCAGAGCCAAGTCTGCCTGGAACAGGTGGTATCCTCGGTTTTGCTCTCACACCAGCCCTGCTCCTGGGTTCTGTAGCTGCCTTGGATGTGCTATGACCTGTCCGTCTCCCAGGACAGCACAACTGGGAGTTCACACAGGTGGCTCCTTTGCACTTGCCATGCTGCGCCAGCCACAGTTGTTAATTCTCTTACACAGATTTCTCCCAGCCAGGCCCTGGCCCTGCCTCACTTGAAGTCCTCATGACTTCTCACCTGCTGGAGCTTTCTAATAGGTCTTCCTGCTTCCTGCCTTCTTACAGCTCCCATCCATTTTCAGTCATTTTCAGACAAGGAAGGGTGGTGCCCACTGGCGCCCCCACCCCCAGTTGGCCTTCAGTAGCAGTTGTGCCCTGCATGTCTGCAACCCGGCCCTCCCCAGCCCTCTGGCTCCCTCTTTCTGTCAGCACCAGGGCTGCACACTCCCCTTGTCTCCAGGTGCTCAGGGGCCCCCCACCTCCTGGCCCTCTCCTGTCTCTTCCTTCTGCATTAAAGCCTTAAAATTGTCTCTTTAACTGGTGCAGTGGCTCACCCCTATAATCTCAACACTTTGGAAGGCTGAGGTGGGTGGAACACATGAAGTCAGGAGTTTGAGACCAGCCTGGCCAACATGGTGAAACCCCATCTCTCCTAAAAATACAAAAATTAGCTGGGCGTGGTGGCACATGCCTGTAATGCTAGCTACTCAGGAGGGTGAGGCATGAGAAACGCTTGAACTCAGGAAGCAGAGGTTGCAGTGAGCCGAGATGGTGCCATTGCACTCCAGCCAGGGTGACAGAATGAAACTCTGTCTCAAAAAAAAAATTGTCTCTTTGCCTGTGTATATCTCCCCAACCCGAGCTCAGTAGAATAATAGCAAACAAAATACTATGGTGTTGGTTTGTTGGGGGAGCCATTTTCCTCTAAGGAGAAGTTGTTCACTAAGACATCCTCACCATCCTGCTGTGATGCATTCAACAGGTTTTCACCTTGGCCCAGGCCCTTGTGTAGCAAAGAAGTGGAATATGAACTGAAATCTGGGGTTTCCTTTTGACAGGAAATTGCCATCTTGCCAGTGTTTCTCAGATGCACGTTTGACCCAAATGCTGCCTTTTCCCGGCTTCGGTTTTGCCTTCTTCTGGAGCTTGTGAACTTGTTTGCAGGTTTGGCTTCCTGTGTTGTTGACCTCGTGGATACAGTTTTCTCTTACGTAGTTGCATGTGAGGGGTCCGAGAAGTTCAGAGGTAGAAGGGACTCACTTAATGCACGCTCTGTTTTGCAGTTAGGGAAGTCAAGTCCAAAGAGAAGATGATGTTCATGGAGAGAACTGGAGCCAAAGGGGAACCAGAGCACATGCCTCAGTGCCCCTCTGGCGTTCTTCCCAGCATTGCGTCTTGCCTCCTGGACAGATAAGCACCTCCATCTTCATCGATGATTTGGGGGCCAGGCACGGTGCTGGACTCTGGTACTACCAAGAAGGACTGACGATCTATGGCCTGTGGGCTTGACCCTGCCCTGCTCCTGGTTTTGTATGGCCTGCAAGCTCAGAATGGATTTTACATTTCCTAATGTTTGGGGGAAAGAAAATCAAGAGAATTATTTACTAACGTGAAAATATAAGAAATCAAGATTTCTGTGTTCATACATAAAGTTTTATTGGAACACAGCCACCTATCCATTACTATGAATGAATGGAGCTATCCATTCATTAACTTCTACCACCACCCAGCTAATTTTTGTATTTTTGGTAGAGATGGGATTTCACCATGTTGGCCAGGCTGGTCTTGAACTCCTGGCCTCAAGTGATCCGCCCGCCTCAGCTTCCCAAAGTGCTAGATTATGGGCATGAGCCACCATGCCTGGCCTGCCTGGCTCTTTAAAGAGAGGACACCTGATCTCTGCTCTTAGAAGGCTATAGATCTGTAGGCTCCCTTTTTTGTCCACAAAAGTTGTATATATATGTGTGCATTTTTTGTTGAAGGAACCCTTGATTTTCAGAACTTTGTGCCAACAAGATTAAGAGCCCTAGTCCTTAACCTGCACGTCCAGTTTTGGTTGGTCCCCGCCTCCAGTGCAGTCTTGCTCTGATTCCCTCTCATGTGTTAGTTCTTTCAAAATGAAATGCAGCCCTCGCCGGCTCCACATTCCTCTTTCCCCACATGTGAAACAATTTGCAGCAAAAACCTTCATTCCTTTACATTTCTTATATAAGGAAAGTAATGGCTTCTATTTAAATGAGGATTTAGTGACTTCCTCTTTAAAAAACATCCACATGGTAGCATTGGTTAAACCAAAAGGGACAAGTATAAGCATAGAGTCTTAAATTATGTTACCTTGTTCTGTGGAGTTGGGAGATTGGGGTGGGAATGACTATTGTTTCAAGGCTCTCGCCGTCATTTTTCTCCAAAGCTATGATCTCTCTATCCTTCTGTCACTTCTGCCTGGGCGCTGGTCAGATCAGCCCTGAGCCCTATATGCTGCTGAGACTATAATCTCTTGTTAGAGGAAAATAGAACCCTTTAGGGAACATTTTTAGGACAGTGGTGAATGACATCCCCTATGGCCTTGATCTAAATCAGGCTTGTAGATTAACGAGGCGGAGCCTTTCTGGAAGAAAAGCAACTGCAAAGCTGGTGGAGCCCCTGACAGCAGGCCTCCTGCAGATTCGGGAGGTTCAGTGCTGTGGCTGCCTGAGTCCCTGTGCAGAGAAGAGCTTTGTTACACTCTTTGCTAGAATGTAAGCTCCAAGAAAGCAGGTTGCTTTTCCAGACTAAGTCGAATTGTGCCCAGAATGGCACCTGCCATGTAGTCAGTGCTCTGCAAGTACTTGAGGAAGGAATGATTCCAGCAGAATGGGTGCTCAGGAAAGGAGGAAGGAATGATTCCGGTAGAATGGGTACCCAGGGAAAGAGGAAGGAATGATTCCAGTAGAATGGGTGGGCAGGGAAGAAGGATGGAATGATTCTAATAGAATGGGTGCTCATGGAACGAGGAAGGAATGATTCCAGTAGAATGGGTGTTTGTGGAATGAGCATGGAATTATTCCAGTAGAACAGGTGCTCATGGAATGAGGAAGGAATGATTCCAGGAGAATGAGTGTACAGGGAAGGAGGAAGGAATGATTCCAGTAGAATGGATGCACAGTGAAGACAAGGGTTGTAAGGAGTCATTTGTGGCCCAGGTCTCTGGCTCAGAGAGAGGGGAAGGAAAGCAGGAAGGGAGAAATTCTATTGAAATAACGTATATGGCCAGAAACACAGACATTCCAGAAAGCCCTCTTTTGCCCTCTGGGCACATCCTTCATGAATGAGAAGAAGCCACGCTGAAGCTCTGGTAGGCTGTTGGTTCACTGACACTTTTTAAGCAGTTGTTTTTACTTTCCAGATTAATTTTAAAGGTACGTAAGAAAACTGATTTGTTTTTCTAAAACTAATTGAACTAGATACTGGTGGAATCATTGGAAAATGAACCATCTCCTATTCAAAACATTAATCATGTGTACTGAAGGGATATTTTTGCCACCAAAAGCAACAAATATTTGAATATCTGTTAACCCAAAGAATGAGTGTTTCTGGAGTGTTTTCACACATACCCATTTACTTTTATAGAATAACCATATGTGTGTTTGCATTTTAATTATTTTAAGTATGACACAAAAGTTTAAATGATGAATATATTATTTCACTCAGAAATATGAGAAATTTGGCCAGGCGTGGTGGGTCATGCCTGTAATCCCAACACTTTGGGAGGTCATGGTGGGTGGATCACGAGGTCAGGAGTCCAAGAGCAGCTTGACCAACATGGTGAAACCCTGTCTGAACTAAAAACACAAAAATTAGCCAGGTATGGTGGCGCATGCCTGTAATCCCAGCTACTCAGTATGCTGAGGCAGGAGAATCGCTTGAACCCAGAAGGTGGACGTTGCAGTGAGCCCAGGTTGCGCCACTGCACTCCAACCTGGGCAACAGAGTGAGACTCCATCTCAAAAAAAAAAAAAGAAAAAAAGATAATGAGAAAATCTAAAATTTAGGTGATGCAGCTGCCTTCTCTCTCCTCTTTATCAGTGTTAATGATGATTTCTTGCTATTTTAATTGCCCAGTGAATTAATCCTATAAAAGAAGTCATTGCTTTTAAAAACTGGATTATCATGACTTTGCTCTTTCATGAATTTAAATATATAATTCATCATCATTCCATAAGTATGAAATTTCAGAAAATGCTATTAGCACACTTAAATAGGTGTAAACTTCATCAGTGTTGTGACATAGGGTTGGCTTTTGGATTTCAAATGGAAGCCAACAGCACCTAGTAGACAATTACTGAGGAAATATTAATACCTTAGCATGCGTTACATTTCATGAACATTTCAACCAAAGGAAGCTCCCAGGAGAAAGTGTTCAGGAAAACCTGGCTGCTTCTGAGGAACTAGAGTGTGATTTCCTCTCAGTAA